ATATTTGATCTTAGCTTTTAGTTTGCGTATTGTTGGTTGTTCCTTATCATATGATCCCGTTCTTACATATTGTCGGTGCCTAAACATTTTTATCTGGCGTTATAAAGCTCCTCCCCCGTTCAAACCCAAAACATCGCCGACTAGTAATTTGTACAAAAGTGTTAGAATTAGCTTGTGTGGACGCAAATGGGCTCGGTATATGATGTCCACGCAACAATACAAAAAAGAGGTCAACAAGAACCATTGCCACAGTTCACTGAAGAAATATGGGAGGCACCAAAACCAAAATACAAAGGATTCTTGTACAAGGATTACCAAGCTATGAGAATATTTCATGTTTGAAAAGTAACATTTCACCTCACAGGAAGACTGGACATCTCGTCTCTCAAGATACCACACTTCGTTCCAAAATTGATCTGACCATATTAACCTTACGTAGTGTGCAGTGAATCGAAGCTTGATTGTATTCTTCTTGACTATAATTATTTCGATATTTTAAATACTCAAAAAACTTGAAATAATAAGAACAGAAAATTTGTAGAGAAAGGTCGTGTGAGACCAATATATTTGAATTGAATCGGGATTAAAAAAAAAAAAAAAAAAGAACGAAACGTGTTCAATTTAGATATTTCAATATAAACATATGTTGGCGCAGATTGACCTAGATAGTTAAATCACACAATTTCATATTGGGACATATCTCTTGGCTCAGATTGTACCCTATCTGAAAGTCCATAACTGCACTCGTTTCACTTCATTAGTCGTGTCGTGCTCAATCATCGACTTATTCCTATTCATATATACAAACTATTTAATAACCACATTAATGATTCCAACATAGATTAGCATTTGGGCCAAGTTGGGATTATTCCATCAAGGAAAAGACACCATATAATTATTCATTAATGGATTTTGTCCGTTTATATGAAGGAGGAACCTTAGACTGTAGTTGACATTATGCACCGAAGATAATAATAGAGTGTTGCACCGAGAGAGATTTGGGATTTCGTAAGTAACTAGTGAGTTACTAGCTAAGATTTGAAAGAAGAAAATAAAATACGAACAACTGTAATGATTGTAATAAATCGA